AGACTCAGTGTGAGGCACCAAAGCCCCACTGAAGCAAGTCTTGCCCCATAAGGGTGTCTCCAGCACAGAAGTTCTCCCACCGTAGTCACAACTGATTCTCACAGCCAATTGGCCTGGTGGTCAATTCCTCCCAGTGATACCAACAACAATCAAGACTTAACTACAACAAGACTGTGCACACAGCCCACAAAGGGGTGCACCAAGAGTGTCCACCTCAGGTAATTGGGGAGGCTGAGCCACTGGGCCCTATAGGACACCTAACACAGAAAGCCACTCTATCAACACAGGGAAGCATAAAAAATGTGGAGACAAAGAAACAGGTCACAAATGACAGAAATGGAGGAGAGCAAACTACTGGATATAGAGTTGAAAACCATACTTTTAAGGTTTTTCAAGAATTTTCTAGAAACCGCCGATAAATTTAGTGAGACCCTCAAGAAATCTAGTGAGACCACCGATAAATTTAGTGAGACCCTCAAGAAATTTAGTGAGACCCTCGAGGTTATGAAAAAGGACCAACTAGAAATTAAGCATACACTGACTGAAATAAAGGATATTATGCAGAGTTCCAACAGCTGACTAGAGGATCGCAAGAATCAAGTCAAAGATTTGAAATACGAAGAAGCAAAAATCACCCAACAGGACAAACAAAAAGCAAAAAGAATCCAAAAATATGAAGATAGTGTAAGGAGCCTCTGGAACAACTTCAAGCGTACCAACATCCGAATTATGGGGGTGCCAGAAGAAGAGACAGAACAAGATATTGAAAACCTATTTAAAAAAATAATGACAGAAAACTTCCCCTACCTGGTGAAAGAAATAGACTTACAAGTCCAGGAAGCGCAGAGAACCCCAAACAAAAGAAATCCAAAGAGGACCACACCAAGACACATCATAATTAAAATGCCAAGAGCAAAAGACAAAGAGAGAATCTTAAAAGCAGCTAGAGAAAAACAGTCAGTTACCTACAAGGGAGTACCCATACGACTGTCAGCTGATTTCTCAACAGAAACTATGCAGGCCAGAAGGGAGTGGCAAGAAATATTCAAAGTGATGAATAGCAAGAACAACCAAGATTACTTTACTTACAACCAAGATTACTTTACCCAGGAAAGCTATCATTCAGAATTGAAGGTCAGATAAAGAGCTTCACAGATAAGAAAAAGCTAAAGGAGTTCATCACCACCAAACCAGTATTATATGAAATGCTGAAAGGTATCCTTTAAGAAGAGGAAGAAGAAGAAAAAGGTAAAGATACAAATTATGAACAACAAATACACATCTATCAACAAGTGAATCTAAAAATCAAGTGAATAAAAAATCTGATGAACAGAATAAACCGGTGAATATAATACAATCAGGGGCATAGAAAGGGAGTGGACTGACTATTCTCGGGGGGGGGGGGGGGGAAAGGGGTGTGGGGGGTATGGGAAGAGAATGGACAAAAATCGTACACCTATGGGTGAGAACAGCGAGTGGCGGGGGTAAGGGCAGAGGGTGGGGTGAGGACTGGGTGGAGGGGAGCTATGGGGGGGAAAAAGAGGAACAAATGTAATAATCTGAACAATAAAGATTTTAAAAAAAACACATGAAAAAAAAAAGTTCCTTATATTAAGAATGGTTTCTGAATGTTATTAATGCCTCTTTTAAGAACATATACTTATAACATAAGATTATTTACTTTTAATTAGTTATTATAGTATATTTAATGATTTTGATATGTTTTCTAAAATTGAATTATCCTTAAATGTGGCCACAAGGCATTATTCTCTGAATCTACTTTTTGATTTAGTTTTTATTCTTTTATTTTGAATGTATACATTTTATTGTTACGCTTTCTACATATATACATTTATAAAAATTCCTAAGTGTAAAAAAAAAAAAAAAGAATTTGGGGTCCAAAATTACAGTATTATACTGCATTAATCCCCTATCCAATCCAGCTTAAATTCCATGCTCCACTTCAACTTAACAGTCCACTTTTTTACCTATATTCTCCATTCTGTTATGTTGGGCTAAAAGACCCAAACCCTAAACTAAAGCACTAACTGCCTTCCCTACCCCAGTGGTACACTGCTAAATACTACTGGAGAAAAATCACACACCATGAAAAGCAGTGCCATTGTGAATGTATTATCTCACATTTCTAATGCAGTCTAGAAATATTATTTATATTTTCATGGTTGGCTTTCTCTTTCCCATTCTCCACAGTGTCTATTTCAAACCTTCTCCACTCTTTTCTTGGAACATATCACCTTCCATGTCCTTCAGTGCAGACAGCCTCATTTCTATCTTCACAGGGAAAATAGAAGCCGAAGAAAACATCAACCCCCTGCCCTCAAGACAAACATTTCTCCATCACTCCCTATTATAAAATAGGCTCGGGATCTCATTGCCTTCTGCCTTCTTGTGAAGACTACTAGTCTGAGTATTCCTCTAATATTTTTGACATCTTCCATCTCATCTGAAATGAAATCTCTTGACCCCACCCAACTTACCTCTTCCCCTTCACAAACTTCTTTAAAACTGTGTCTACATTTGTTGAGCCCTCTTCTTTACCTCTCAATCACCCCTGAATTTATTTTAATCTGGCCTCAGCCTATGTTCCCCTATTTAAATGACTTACCTATTACAAAATCTGAAGGTCACTTTTCATCCATTTTATTTAATTTTATTGAATCCTCATCAATGTTTTATATTATTATCCCTTTCTTCCAACTTAAAATATTATTACATCAGTTTCCACATTCTCCTGGTTTCCCACATCCCTCTCTGTCGCCTCTGCAGGCTCTGTTTCATCCCCTGTCCTTTAATTACTAACGTTCCTCAGGCTTTGGACTTCAGCCATTTTCTTTCTCATTTTTCACACACTCTCTGCTTCGTTCCATCCACACAATGGCCAATTTCACCCAACCTACAACTACTCAGCTCTTTCTCTAAGCTCCAAATTCAAGTCCAAACAGCCTATTTAACATATCCACCTATATGCTTTCAGGTAACAAAAATAAACATGTCTAAAACTAAGTTCAATTAGCAACCAGGGAAATGGAAATCAACACTACCATGATCAGCAATAAAAAGAACAAAATATTGCCATCCGAAACAACATGGATCGAGAGGGTATTGTTCTAAGTGAAATAAGTCAGACAAAGAAAAGTACCACATGATTTCACTAATATGTGGGGCTTTTTTAGAAAATCAAAAAAAAAAAAAGAAAGAAAATAAAACACAATTAGATTCATAGAAACAAAGAACAAACTGATGGTTTGCCAGAGGGAAGGAAGATGGAGGGATGCGTGAAAATAGTGAAAGGCAATACGGTCAATAGTAGTGTGATTAACTTTGCAACTTTACTTGACTTAGTGTGCTGAGCATACCACAATGTATATAAAAATGTCGAATCACTATGTTGAAACTAATAATATTGTGTACCAACTATACATTAATAAAAAATAATTTAGCCAAACCAGCGTGGCTCAGTGGTTGAGATTCGAACTATGAACCAGGAGGTCACAGTTTTGATTCCCAGTCAGGTTATATGCCCGGGTTGTGGGCTCAATCCCCAGTAGGCAGGAGGCAGCTGATCAATGATTCTCTCTCATCACTGATGTTTCCATCTCTCTCTCCCTCTCCTTTCATCTCTGAAACCAAGAAAAAAATGTATTTTAAAAAAATGCTTTAAAAAATCCACAATGAAATATCACTTTAATCCCACTAAAATGGCTAGAATCAAAAAGACAAAATAACAAATGTAAAGGATGAGGAGAAACTGGAATCCTTGTTCACTGCTGAGAATGTAAAATGATGTAGTCACTTTGGAAAACAGTCTGACAGTTCCTCAAAAATTTAAACAGTTACCATATGACCCAGTAACTCCACTCCTAAGTATACACACAAGAGCAAAACTTAAAACACGAATGTTCATAGCCACAATACTCACAATAATCAAAAAGTTGAAACAACCCAAATGTACATGAATTGATGATTTGATTAAAAACAAACAGAGTCCAGAGAGTGTTGCTTAATGGTTGAGCGTTGACCTATGAACCAAGAGGACACAGTTTGATTCCTGGTCAGGGCACATGCCTGGGTTGCAGGGCAGCCAAT